ATGCATTTCTTACAGATTTCTGCTCATTCGAAATCGGATACAGATGAAGTAGCACTGTAAGATTACATTTGTTTGAATGCATTACTGAGAGAGCGATTGCGTGTTATAGTACTTGTTTAAACCATTCTTTCAGTTGAAAATATTCAGTATCTAGAAGGAACAAACAAATTCCTTGAGAACTATAACTTCCCGCTCATGTCCATTGCCTTCATCATAGCCTTCACATTCTTTCTGATTTGAGTGATCCATCTCTAGCTAAATATGTTTAACATGTGAATTCTTGCTAAATATGCAGTTATATGATGGGCCGTTGGCATGAATTGCACTCGTGATGGAACGGTAGTGGAGCGCTCTTGGAGCAAGTGAAAACCACGAAGCTCCGACTTTTAATAAAATCCGCTCCTTGCTCCAGTCAAAATCACACAGCTCCACTCTGCTCCCACTCCGCTCCGCTCACATACTCTGATTGTGAGTAACTGTTACTGTCATGACAGATCTATTTCAGAACCAGGTGCTATCAAAATAATCTGGCTGCGGGCGCGGGCCAAGCCACCTGTTACCGATATGTATATGGCATGTAGTGGAGCTTTTATTTGCTACTGCTGACGTGCTTGACTATTATTTTTAATACACTTAAAAACTGTTTATTTATGCATTTTAGCATTTTATATATATATATATATATATATATAAAATCCATGACTTAATTACAATTACAGAGGGCGCATATTCAAAATAAACAAAGAGGCTAAGTTTTTCCGCTAGAGGGCACGTATTCAAAACAAACAAAGAAACAAAGGCGTAGTTTGATGAGTGTGGAATCATGGGAGTTGTGGTCTTCATCTCCACAGCCGATGCAATCCGACGGGACTCGGGCAGAAATCATGTTCATGGATGAGCTAATGATTTATTAACGTAGTAGAATGAAGTAGGGTGAGGCTGAAAGCCGTCGAAGCGAAACGAAACCGCTGACCGAGCGTGACACACGGCTCGAAAGCAGCGGGGCTTTTATTATGCCACAGTCGAGCGCTTCCGCTGCTTCCGGTCGTGCGTATGTGGGGTAAAGCAGCGCTGTTTTATCATACTAGATACATTTGAAAGTTCTGTTATAATGCTACTCTGTGCGGTCGTCACCGGTCTATTAAAACACACACCATATAGTAAAGCTTCTTTGGTGTTTCCATGTTTTCTACAAAACAAAACCGGAAATTGAGGGGTTATGACGTCATTGGCAGGCGACGCAATGACACTATGGACACGGTCTGTGTCACTAGTTAAAATTGCTTATTTCTCTGGATTTAAACATTCTTCGAAACATTTGGGATAATGTAAGTACACAAGTCAGCAAAATATATAACACTGTTCTAGTGGTTTTTGGATATTTTAATAAAAAAATCGTACATATTGTGCCTTTAATACATTAGTTTGGTAAATGGAAAAACAGCTACTTTTGCTTTTGCATGAACTGAACTAATTTTATGCAGCGCTCTAATTGAAACTATTTGTTTGCCCTTTTTTTATGTCACCTTCTTTTACACCAAAAATCTTTGATAAAGGCGCATGTCATGATGGTTGCAGAGGTAGCATGCAACTAAACACTGCTCATTTCAAGTCATTCCATGTTTATTTAGATTTGGACTTATCCAAAAGAGGTGTAGGCCGAGTGGGCGAGTTGTTTGCTCTGTAATTAGCCCATCTGTTTCCACCAGTTCGACCCATTCAGGCCAATCTGTGGACCTGATGTGAATATGTTAGGCTGATAGACTGAGAAATCATTCGTTCACAGCCAAAGAGCCACTTTTCATCAGAAATACTGTGTTCCACCTCATTTTCACTTTGTTTTAGGACCTCATTGAGAACACAATGAGATCAAAGGAGCCTTCTGAGACTTCATCTGTGTCACTTTTTACTGCTTTACTCGCAATTTGATTGCATGTTTTGTAATATCTCTTATCAATTATTGTTAGATACACTTTTACATCATTATGAACTTTCCAATGCAGAATAAACAAAAACGGTTAACATGTGCACCAGGCTTATTGATGAGGATACAAGTTTACAACAAGGGCTTCCCACAGGAATCTTCCATATTCCATTTGCCGTTCATGAATAATACATGGAGCCCATAGACACTCATTAATCTTACAGTAGTTATTCTCCAATCCCTGCAAAATCATCAGCAGCACGTAAACACAGTCATGCAGAAGCTACTCAGAAACCCAGCCAGGAGTATGAGTTGTGGGCCTCAGTCGTAATTTAGAGTGTTATCTTGTCAGAAAAGTGACTCTTCTCAATTAATTACGACAGCAGAATGGGACAAAAGCAGTCACTGGGAAGTCGCATCCAAGCGTGGGTGACGAAAACCTGCCTTTTTCTGCATCCCTTGTTGATCATGGATCCTGGCGGCTTTCCAGATCCCCACAAATCCTGGTGATCATTGAGATGCCACTGCAGCCCTGCCTTAATTTGTCAGCAGATGCTTGTTTTTTTCTCTGTTTTCCTCTGTAGTGAGATGCATTTCCCTCAGCGTGTCTTCCAATAGCCCAGCTTCCTCATCCTCCTCTGTTGACTGCTCAGGCATATAGACTCCTGGACAGGTGCAGGAAGCAGACAAGACAGATGGCCCAGAAAACTTGAGGAACTTTGTTTTCTCTCTCTCTTGCTCTCTCTCTCTCTCTCTCTCTCTCTCATTCTCTCTCTATCCCTCTTCTTATTTTATTTTTTTAAACGAGTTCCTTGCAAACACTGATGCTTCCAGATGCTCTCATTTGTAGATTAATGTCAGGGGGCTGCAAGGTGAATCTCAATAGACCTTCCTGTGATCGGCATCATGGAAAGCTTTGTTCACCTCTAATGCAAACATAACCAACCCTGAGGATTCGCCAGATCTTTGGGGTCTAAGTTTTGCATGTTCTCCCAGGAATGTCAGCGGTCCATGTGGAGAAATCCGTCTAATCTGACTTTGTTCTGTATTTTTAGGTATTTTTATCTCATTAGTTACATCAAAGTTAGCTGATTGTTTGCGATGTGCATGACCTTTTTGGTGTAAAAACTATCACTTGGTTAATGAGGTTAGGTTGATAGGTTTTTCTCCAGTTAATGGTCCTTATGTTCAGCTTTTACACATGTGACATGAGATTACCTTTCACACATATGACATTAGATCACACTCAGTGACTTTATTTTTGTGTTTAATTTAGTTTGACCTTTTTTTTATCCAGAGCAATGCAGTATACAGATCTCAATACAGTATGAGGTTAAGTGTCTCCCTCGGGGGCATAATGGTTATTTCAGGAGCTCTCCAGCTCAGGTCAGTTATAATTAAAGCATTATTCGGACAGGATTATTTTTTAGAAATTATGTTGTGTTACGGTTAATAACAGAGGTCATTACATAACATACTTATTTAGACAGGATTGGGATCACAGTATATTGGCACCATGTTGATTACTGGATGCAAGAGAGATTTTAGCGTATCATTATCGGTCAATATTGAATATACATCAGCCAATATTGTGCACGCTTATTTTTGCCTAATTTTACTTTTAGATTACCTTTGCCCCCATGTTAAGCTCACATTAATATATTTTCATTTTAGCTTTAGGTTTATTATTTATTTATTATTCATTTATTTTAGTGTTTTTATTTTTTTTAAAAAGTGTGAATTCAGTGCACCTAGAAAACAATATGACCATGTATTTTTAGTTAAATAATTATAACTGTATATCATTTAAAAATATGTTCTTAATCAAAGTTGGAAGAGATTCATGTGGAATAAATTAAAGTATTAATTTATATGATTAGGATGCATTAAGTTGATCAAAAAGGACATTAAAGACATCTATCAAAAAAAATACAGTTTCCAAACAAATAAAAACAGTTTTCAACATTGATAATAATAATAAATGTTTCTTAAGCACCCATTCAACCATATTGGAATGATTTCTTAAGGATCATGTGACACTGAAAACTGGAGTAATGGCTGCTAAACATTCACTTTTGCCATCACAGGAATACATTACATTTGAAAATATATTAAAATAGAAAACAATTTTAAAATAGTAAGTTCATAGTATAATATTTTTTACTGTGTTTTCGATTGAACATTTCAGTCATTTTATTTATCTTAAATCTTAATAAACATATATCAGTGTCATTATGGTCATAACATCTCTTTTGACATATAACATCTTTGCTGTGTGTTTTGTTTGTTTAGGTTATTTTTTAAGAACCAGAGCATCTCCTGTCCAGCGCTCATTCCAGGGCTGCATGCAGCTCATTCAGGTGGACGATCAGCTGGCTGACCTAACCGCAGTGGAGCAGGGAAGGATGGGAGCCTTTGAGAACGTCAGCCTGGACATGTGTGCCATCATTGACAGGTTAGAACCAATCCTTCTTCACTTGCCCTGCCTTTCAACAAACACTGGTTGAGACAGTGATTATCAGGTGCAACAGACTGAGACTGTGGCTTTATCCCCACCGGCGGCATCTGCCCTGGGGGCAGGATCCGTCGTGCTCTACCTGCTCTCCCTGGAGATGACTTCTTCATTCCTCGACTTCAATGGCAAATGAGAAGTTTAATCAGAGAGCAGATGCTGTGCGAGAACAGGATACAGGCTCTTGGTTGTTATCTTTAGAATGATTTGACATACTTTCACTCTCCAAGCGTTTTTTGTTTGTTGCCACATTGTTGTGGATACAACAGAGGCAAATCCTCTTAATCCCATTAATGGAGTTTTATTGATGATATAAAACAAAAGAAACCATATAGGTGGTCATCCGGGCATTTTTGCATCTCATTTGTACTGCTTTTGACATACTATATAGTAGGGAACTTGACAAAAAACTTGAACAGAACTTTAAAACAAAATCTGTATAAAGACTTCAAAATTTAACACATATGAACATAAAACCAACCAAATCCCATTACGATGTGCACAACACAACCAAATGAGCAAAGTAAATGAAACTTGAAAAAAACAAAAAAGCAATGTTTTTGAAAGCACTTCATTTCAAGATAGACATATTGCCTGCCACATTTGTATCTTTAATGTTTTAATGAAATAATGCCTCATCGCCCAGGCAGGAGGATTCCCAAGCAGATGTGAGGGCTAATGTATTCATGCATTGTGCAAGAAAACAGTCATTTGCCGTCAAATTACAGACAATTAAGGGTCAAGCATCTTGTTTTTAATTATGACTTATCAGATTTGTCTTTATAGTAATTTAACATCAACCTGACCCTTCAAATAGTTAAACTGAATCATCTGTTCATTGATGATATAATTCTGTTTTTTGTTGTTGTTTTTTCATTAGCATCATTGCACAGCTGGGGATAGATCTGATGTTGGCTTGGTAATGTTTCATGTATCTTGTTTGATGGTAATTCAGTTCTATTGAGATGAAGGAAGCATATACAGAGACTTCCCTAGGAAAAATGTCCATTACTGCAGTGTCCCATAGTGGGACGTATTCACTACACAGTTAGAAAACAGTCATTTGCCGTCAAATTACAGACAATTAAGGGTCAAGCATCTTGTTTTTAATTATGACTTATCAGATTTGTCTTTATAGTAATTTAACATCAACCTGACCCTTCAAATAGTTAAACTGAATCATCTGTTCATTGATGATATAATTCTGTTTTTTGTTGTTGTTTTTTCATTAGCATCATTGCACAGCTGGGGACAGATCTGATGTTGGCTTGGTAATGTTTCATGTATCTTGTTTGATGGTAATTCAGTTCTATTCAGATGAAGGAAGCATATACAGAGACTTCCCTAGGAAAAATGTCCATTACTGCAGTGTCCCATAGTGGGACGTATTCACTACACAGTTTCGCCACTTTTCCATGCGTACGTTTTAAAACAAAAATGTGTTTCATTCACTAATCGGCCTTGATTTAACCAGGATCTCTGTCGGCTGCACTGAAATTTAATTAAGTGTCATTCCTTTTAGCAGAATCACAACTCCTTTCCATGTAAATTGGTCTCATTATACAGTAGGTTATGCCTTTTGCCACCATTAACACGTCAAACTGCGAAAAGCAGGCAGTGAATAAAAAAAAAAAACTCAAGGACTGGAGTCATATTTTATAAAAGTTAAACTTTTAACTTGGATGCTGTGCTGCGAAATATGCAACAGTCAAACACATCTGTCTAGTGCATGTTTACATAGAAAAACAATGGAAAACAGTGCAGTGCAATTCAAAAAGGTGTTTAGTGTTTAGTGCTTCTTCCTCTGTAACTTAGGGCTTGGAACTTGCCTGCTAGATTTGGAATTGCCTACATGCTCTCATAGCACTTTGTAACTATTTTACAATTGATTAATTTGTATGAATTTATGCGATCTCATTTGAACATTTTTGTAAGAGCTGCTTAAGCCCCACTGATGGTTAGGTTTTGAGGGTGAACCTACTTTTACATTATTACATACTTTTTTCTAAAAATCTTATGTTTCTATATGGATCACATTGTACAAATTCTTACAAAATTATGGTTAGGTTTAAGGGGTAAAGCTTCATGCATATATATAAATACATATTCTGAATGGATAACATTGTACAAATGCGATTCCATATAAATCTCGTTGTACGGATTCATACAAAATTGCTACCTCATAAATTATCAGTGTTTTCTCATGAGTTTGAAATTACCTATTGTGCTTAGAAAATCTCAGGTTAAACGGCACTTGACTTGACATTAACGCCCTCCTACGTTAAGTGCAAAGAATAGCTAGTTAATAAATAACTATTTGCTTTCTTTGTTCGTTTGCTCATTTATACATTTATGTTTGCAGCTCATTTATTTCGCTCCTTACTGATAAAGACCTGCATATGGAGGCATTGTTTATATTCCATTAGATTCCTTACAGCTCAGTTAGAAGCTTAAGCTCCACTTTTAATTGTGTGTAAAGATGCATTGTTCTTTAATGCGTCTCATTAGCCTTACAGCTCAGGGCTGAGTACATTCTCAACATGATTTAAAGACAAGCTCAGTTCATTCTGCATGTCTTTCTGCTATTTTAAATTCATATCCCTCTCACTGACAATATTTCGATAATGTTTCAGATGAACTTCCTGTCTTTACTGCACTGTTTATTTATGTTTTTGAGATTATGGTTTATACTGCAATACAGTTAGTTGTAAGTCCCCAGAGGAAAATCTTTCCCTTTATTAGATCAGGCTAGATGCCGACTCGCACGCTCTCCCTCCCTTCCTTCGCTCCGAACGGAATGAACTGTAATAATAGAGGAGGCAAGAGACTGTTGAACGCTCTCCCTGTATGTTTTTCCGTCAGTGTAATGATGCTTCTCTGGCAAAGCTCCACAGTGGCAGCGCAGTGAGGAGCAAACTCATTATGTGGGATCGGAAGGGGGGCTACCGCTCACCACGCCATTGATTTTATGTTCGTTTTCATCAGGCCAGGTGATGCCCTATCAATCTCCTTTACCAAACGTGTCCCTGTGTTTGACATGTAAATGAATATTCCATGTCCTCCCATCAGGAAGACACTAAAACACATGACCTTGCAGTTAGATACAGCTGAAATCGCATCCTCTCCTTCTACGGGAGAGATTTTTTTCTCTTTTTTCTCACCCCTACAGTATTTCACACACATCAATTTCCCTCACATCAAGCTATTTCACGCATAAACTGTTCTGCTGAACTTCTAGAGGCCTTCTTAGAATGTGACTCATCCTAAATAGCTGTGCAAAACATTTGACGTAATGGTTTCTCAAG